GAGGGAGGGACATTGATTGGCTGCCTTCCAACTGGGGGATCAAACTTGGGTATGTGTGCTGACCGGGAATTGAACCCTTGAGCCTTCGGTGCACAGGCAAAGCTCCAACTGAGCCACATGAGCCAGGGCTACATTCTTGTTTTATGTGAAAAGACTGTCATTGTTTTATTATAATTATCTGCATATCTGTTCTTCACCTAAACTGTAGCTAAACAAATTTCATTACTCCAGGCTAAAAGAAGTGAGAAAGAATTTCAACTGATTCTTATGAAAATTTTTTTTTTTACAGGGCGTCATCGTTGTATTGGGGAGAATTTTGCCTATGTGCAAATCAAGACGATTTGGTCCACTCTGCTTCGTTTATATGAATTTGATCTTATTGATGGGTATTTTCCCACTGTGAATTATACAACCATGATTCACACCCCTGAAAACCCAGTTATCCGATACAAACGAAGATCAAAATGAAAAATGCTGCAAGGAACTAATATGTGAAACATCACTGTAAACAGAAAAGCATTTGAAGAAAATGAAGTTGATGCAACAACTCTCAGTGTATTCTTTTTTGTGTTACTTTAAAAGACAGCTAATTTAATGGTTTTTATATTTTCTTAACTGAATGGTTCCATAAAATTTAATGGCCTTTCAGACATTTCCTAAGACCTTATGATGGATATTTACTACATATGCTTTATTTAAGAAAGTCAAGCTCGTCAGTGAAAACAAATTGTTCAGGGGGATCTTGGTTATTGGCAGATTCTAAACACAATTTCTAGGTATTAATTTTAAGAGTATATGTAACTCTTGGCAAGTAAGTTTAGGGTATTCAAATCTTGGACTAAATCTGCAAATATAAAAGCCCAATGAGATACTTGGAAGCCTTAGATTATTTATGCACTTCCTGTGTAATGTTTAGGTGTGTGAGGATGGGTGGATAGGGAATAAGCTCACATTTAAAGTCTTGGAAGAAAGAGAATCCTATTAATTGTTTTGGTATGGTGGATGATAATTAGCAGCAATGGAACTGTGTTGTAGAAAAATATGTCCTTAAGAAGTACTGTCTTATAGGAAATTGAGGGAGATCTATGGTAATGACTTAATTACATTTCCTAAAAAATAATATACTTATTAATTCTAAAGACTGCTTGCACTAACTTGATCTAATTACTAAATACTTCATCAACCTGATAAATTTGTATCTCGTTCCACATGGTCATATCTGTGTGGAAATCCAAAATAAAGTCCCTAAGGGATAATTTTGGTTCTCTTTGGCTCAAGGTGGTTCCCTGCTTCCTCTCCAGAATCTATTTAGGGATTTCCTGTTACTAGTTCTATTAAATATTAATTTAGGTCAACAAGGTGTGTTGTTGTTTTTTAAATAGAAAATCTGAGATCAGGGAACTCTGGCTTTAAGATTAGGATAATATGAAGCAGGGTCCTTAATAGTAATATCATTGGCTACGTTCTGTGAAGGCTGTGTTGAAGAATCAACTCAAATGATAACTGGGGGCCTGTCTCTATACCTGTAATTTGACCATACTGTTTGTTTTGACTAAATAAGGCCAAAATAGTTTCCCTTATGTGTGTAACAGTTGAAGAGAGCGGAGGACTCAGGTTAAACTTTGTCTCTGCTTTAGTTTTTCATATTAACATTGTCTTTGAGAGAAATACAGTCTGTATTCATGAAGTGTAAAGCATGTGCTTTAGTGAGTTGAACTCAGGAATCTAGGAACTTGGATGGGAAAAAAGTCCATCCTTATTTGTATTAATTTCAAATTGTAATTTAGTATTTCCTTTATTTACAAATTTAGGCAACACACCACACTAGTATTAAGCAGTACCCATGACTGAACAGAAGTCATAGATACTTTCATATCACATGATAGGTGTTGTAGATCTTGAAGTTCTTTTACTCTCATCACTACTTTGAAATTATGGTAGTTGTTAGATCTGCTAGATCTTAGATCTTTAAACTTACATGTCATATCACAAAATTTTAAATATATTTTTATTGATTTCAGAGAGAGGAAAGGAGAGGGAGAGAGAGAGAGAAACATCAATGATGAGTGTGTCATTGATTGAGCCTACAACCTGGGCATGTGCCCTGACCGGGAATTGAACCCCGATCGCCTGGATCCCAGGTGGAGGCTCAACCGCTGAGCCACGCCCAGCTGGGCTATATCACAAAATTTTAAAAAATTGGACTCTATGTAATTGTTTTCCTTTACAGTTCTATAATATTTCATGTCTTTAAAAAGCATTAGTTCCACAAGAAAGCTTGAGAGATTCATGGCACAAATAAAGTTAAAACCCCGAGGAAGGCTAGTCTATGTTTAGTGACTAGTCTATTTTAGACTAATAAATTTAGTTGTGTGTTTTTTTTAAAGTTCAACTCCTTTTTTTAAAAAAATACATTTTTATTTATTTCAGAGAGAGAGGAAGGGAGAGGCAGATAGAAACATCAATGATGACTGTCATTGATCGGCTGCCTCCTGCATGCCCCCTGCTGGGGATCAAGCCTGCAACCCCCGGCATGTGCCCTGACCAGGAATCGAACCTTGATCTCCTGGACCATAGGTTGATGCTCAACTGCTGAGCCACACTGGCTGGGCTAGATTTAGTTTTTAATGACAGACTAAGTATTGATAAACATTAAGAAGTTGATGGCAGAGGCCTAATGTCATAAAGAGGGCTGATCGTCAAACAGTGGGAGTGAACAGAGATTAAATCAGAGCACCTGTCCATCTGCTCCTCCTTTCTCAGAGCAAAATAGCAAGCTATGAAAGGTTTTACCCACAACCCTCACCTTCAACTATCTGCTTTAGAGTACATTTGTTATTTCTCAAACTCTTATCAAAACTCAGCTGCTAATAGGGAAAATACAGGTATTATGAAATCTTCAAGAATGTAAAATTTGTTTTTATAGCTTGTTTGTATGGGTATAAATCAGAATACCCAACGGTAAAACAAAATTCTGGTTACAAGCATCAAATACTACTACTCTTGCTGTTTTAGTGGGTTGTCATGTTATCATGGAGGATTTAAGAAATAACAATGAGATTTATATTATCTCTGAGAGATTCCATCTGAACTTGGCTTAGCAGACGCTCATTATATTGTGGTTAATAAAATTTAAGATTATTTGAGTTAAATGAGTTCTGCATCATCTTAGTGGACATGGCTTTGTGAGGACACACCTTTGGACACAAGTAACATTAAATATAATAGAGCAAATAAGGATTAATCATGAAAATACCAATATAGCTTTAAAAAAATACTATACCTAGATGTAAAGTTGATAAAAGGCACATGGAAAATTCAATGGAAGGAGAGAAAAAAATCCCCAGAGTATAAGATTAGGGCAACTTTTTGAATCTCTAAGTCCTACATATTTCCTATAAGTAATGAAGTGATAAGCACTGCCGCAGACTGAATGTTTGTGTCCCCTCCACATATGTTGAAACATAATCTCCAATTTGTTGGTATTCAGAAATGGGGCCTTTGTGGGGTGATTACATCACGGGGGAGCACTCATGAACAGGATTAGTGCCCTTATAAAAGAACCCTCTGACAGCTCCCTCGCCCGTCTGCCATATGAGGACACTGCAAGAAGACAGCCTTCTATGAACGAGGAAGCGGGCCCCACCAGTCCCCAAATCTGGTGGTCCCTCGATCCTGGACTTCCCAGCCTCCGGAACTGTGAAAAACATGTTTGTAAGTCACCCAGTCTACGGTATTTTGTTAGAGCAGCTGGAATGGACTAAGACATGCACCAAGAACTATAGCTTAGTTAAAAATGAAGAGGTTCAAATACAGTGGTTAAAATGGCGAAGTCATTTTTATTTCAGTACTTGACAAAATACCCCATAAAATTCAAAACTTCTACCATTATACAAAAATAGGTCTCTACAAGTGATATCTGTCATCACCAGTAGCAAATATATTAGGCAGAAACAGGTAACTTCAGTAGCCTTATAAGAAAAGTGCAGGACACCTCAAGCTACACATTCAGCAGTGTCATAATGCGCAAAAGTTTAATCTTTTCACCCATTTGATAAATACACCAGGTTTATAATTTAACCATTTAAATTAGCATTCCACAAATACACATGTAATTGATTACTGTGCATGAATACATACACAATGCTTATATGTACAAATTCCAGTTTGTTTTCATGTGCTGGCAGGGATTTGTATACAATCATAAGCTGTGTTCGTGTTGGTCCCATTGGATATCCACAATACAAAAAGCACAAAAGAACCATTGATTTACAAAAGGGAATTTGCTTAAAATTACTTCGATTCATGATGTTCCCAAGGATTATCTCCTCATGCCAGCATGAAAGTGAGTGGCACCTATGAGAGAAAACCAGGATATGTAAATGATTTCAAATTAGACTGTTAACCTGTACCAGAAGGGCAGATTACTACTACGCCTCCATTTAAAAGTAATACTTTTCATTTTCCTAAAAAAGGTCTACATACTTCAAAACAGATTTTTAAAAGAGATTTTTAGTATATATTTAAAAATCACTGTGGATGGCTATGTATCAAGGTGAGCCTAATGTTAAGATTCTCTTTAAAGTGCCCTGCAGGCTGAATGTTCTATACCTCCTGCCTCTTGAAAAATCTTTGGGACTTAAAAATCTGGGTCTTGTGAAATTTGGATGCTCAAAACAAAGAACAAAACATAAAAAATCTAGCTATGATAAAAGTTTTTTGGGTTAGATGATTTCTTATAGGAAAAGATTAACTTAAAATAATGTGCTATTAGCTCTATCTAGTTTGTGGGAATAGTAGAAAAAAAGTTTTTAATAAAAGTAAAAAGAATATATAAAAGTTGACTTAAAACATATTAAATTAAAATGATTCAAAACCTCTGAATCAGGAGTGAATTGAAGGGAGACAGGAAAAAAAGGCTTTCCCGATAATCCATTTTTATTAAGTATGAAATTCTTGTGTGTTTTTGAGCAGAGAAAAATAAAAGGTCATTTTTACAGAATCTTGAATGGGATGGGTTTTACGGATCAAACATAAAACACAAGGTCCTCGTGTGAACAATGGCTGTGTTAAACGCTTCAAGTTCTTGCTCCCTCCTCTCATCTTCCTACCCCTTATTTGTACGCATTATTTAGCAACATGTATTACTTAGGAACATGCTCTCCAGTTGACTCCGTAAGCCTCAGAGTACTTGGTGCTCACTGTGCACTTTATCTTATCCATCTGCTGAATGAAGACAGCAGTGAAACTTTCTGGGGAGGACTGAGACCCGGCGTGATAAATTATGTCTTGACTTAAATTCCTAAGTCTAACCTGGTAACTCATGCACTGAACTGCAAGATTTTATTATCCTAATGAGGAAGGTCAAGGAGTTTGAAAAAGAGAAAGGGGAGCTATGGGCCTATCTAGTAGCACTGTGGTGCTGCCAACTTATGGCTAAGCCAAGAGTACCTGACTGTACAGTTCCAAGGCGTCTTTGCAGTGCTTCCAGCCGAGAAATATAATCTGTCAGGGCTCTGTCAGGATCATAATTCTGAAGCTGAGAACATGCTAAGGAAGCAGGATTCAAATCAGCTGGAGGGCCCGGGTACCTATGAGGTAAAAAATATAAACACGAATCCAAATTATCCAGAAACAAGGCAAGTAACTTACCCACCAGCCTCCACCCCTCAAAAGGCAGACATCTCATACACTGCCTGATCTGTACCCCCATACTTCTGAGTCTATGTTGTATAATGGAAAAAACTCAATAAATTCAAAGCAGCAGCTATGAAGTCATCATAAGAATGTCCAGTACAATGCCTGTCACAAAGGTCCTCAATAAATGTTGCGTATTATATAAATGCATCTTGTCACGCAGACTTTAGGGTTTTTCCCACAATGTCCAGAGACTACCAGTTTTAGTCAATACTTTCCCAATGCCTAAACCACAGCACTTACTAAACAACATTTGATCAGGTGTTTCTTATACCCTTGGAAACCAGTTACAAATCCAAAAGCTATCCTTAATTCTGAGCCTTTGATTATGTAAATCATATATTCCTGAAGATACATTTAGCTATTTCAATGCAAAGAAGTCATAGCCCTAACACTGTCCCTTCTCTATTAGTATTAGTATATTTAAGTACTCTAGGCAAGTTTTATCAAATTTTTACCTATTTTGAAAAGGTAAAGGAGACCTAGGATAGTCCAGGTCTGATCTTGAACGATATGTAGTGTGTCTTGGCTCTCCATACAGCTCTAATCCACCAGGAGAAGGGTAAAATAGGTCAGTCTT